CGCCTCTGAGGTTTGGGTCACAAACCCCTGCCTCTGCCCCTCAGCTTCAGGTGGGATGGGGGTGGGAGACCTGAACGTTCCTGCTTTCACCAATCCCTGGGTTGCCCGCCTCCCTGTGTGACTTGCCCAAGTACTGTCCCCGCCTGTGTCACCCCTTCTCCTGGGCCACCTGCTGGCCCTCTTCGCCGCCCCCCAACCCCACACATGCCCTTGAGCCTCCAAGCCCTGGAAGCCTCTCCTGCTTCCTCACTCCTTCTTTCCCAGGAGCAGTCAGCCCCAAAGTCCAGCCGGGAGCCTCTCCGCAATGTCCCCTCAGCACCTGTGCCTTCCCGCCACCCACCCCACGACGTTTGGGTTGTGGGTAAGGCCTGCCCCACCAGCAGCCTGTGGGTCAGTGAGGCTCAGGCACCCTGCTCTCACCTGCAGTGCTCTCATTCCTACCTTGCACGCACCCTTGGCACAGGCCTGAGCAGCTGCAGGGCCCTGGGCTTACCCTGCCTCCCCAGGGACCATCCAGGGCCCCACTCTCAGCCTATACTTGCCCTGGATGCCGAAGGCTGCTCCACGTCTCCTAGGTACCCTCTCGACATTTCCTGATTCTGTTTTTCCTCTGAGTGGCCTGTCTTAGTAAATGCCTTCATGTCCCTGCGCCCCCAGTTGCTCTGGCCAGACCCCGCAGTTTTCCACGGCACCCCCACACCAGGGAGCATTCCCATTTCATGAGAGCCACCCATCTCCCATGCGGAGCCAGTGGCTACCTCCCAAGGTTGCCCTCCTCCTGCGTCTCCTCGCCCCTAGACTTGTAGCCACCCCGTCTGCGGGCAAAGCCTAAACTCTGTAGGGACTGATCTGGGAGTTCTCCGTGCATTTGCTCCCAGCACGTGAGGTGCTCCTCCCACATCTTTGGCCACAGTCAGCACCTCTGACCCTTCTAAACCCCAGGCCCTGCTCTCCTCAGCAGAGCCTCATCTAGGACTCAGAAGGCAGAGGTGGGTCACCAAAGAAAAGCCGTGCTGGGTCTCGCTGTTTGTATATGAGGACACGCCTGGCGTGCAGGGGAGGCCTGCCCTCCCACCCTCATCTCTAGGGGATCGCGTGTTGATGTGGGACTGTTGATTGCACATGCAGATGAGTGTTGCCCTTCTGTAACCTGCGGGGAATCACCACCCCCTGGGCCCAAGAGCCACAACCATGAGAGCAGGCTGCTGGAATCTATCCCAGGGAACATTACTTCTCTTTGTCCTGATTTATGCTCCTGGAGCTCCATTCCAGGTGTCAGGGGCCCCCACATCCATTCCTCGTATTGACAAACTTAGGGACGTATCTGCAGCGGGATGGCCACTGACTGACCATTGTAAAATATGTTTGCTATGGCTCCCAAGTTCAAAACCCTATTGTCAGGAAGAAGCAGTGATTTCTTCTCACTGGCCTCCAACATCTTTTCCAGGGATACATCCGGGCAGGGAAGATTTTGTACCATATTCCGCTCCTACTCGCGGGGCGCACAGGTAACACCCCCTGAGCCAGGAAGTCAGACTGACTGAATGATGGCATTGGAATGTTTGTTGATGCAAGAATCTCAAAGTGTTTAAAAAAAAAGAGTCTGAAAGTGTGGCAAGGAATGTTTGGTGGCTTGCAAACCATCAGCATCAGGGATGTATGTGTGCATGTGTTATGTTTGCACGCACGTGTGCACACGAGCTCTGTGTGGCCGCAGATGTGTGTGTGTACGTATGCGTGTGTGTGCACATCTGTATGTGTGCACCTGTGTTCACGTGACTGTGTGTGTATGTCTGTGCGCAGGTAGGAGAGCACTCTGTCCAGGTGGGTGGGCTCTGCCCCTAGGAAGTTGGTCACCCCTGCAGTCCCTCCACATTCCATGTCCCTAGAGCAGCATGTGGATCTGGGGACTCGAATGCTAGTCCCCAACTTACCTTGACATTTGAGAGTGGATTAACGAGTTCATGAAGCACCATTAGAAGTAAATATTTAACTACTGCTTTTGGTAGACAAATAAAAATACTGTGTTTTCCATTAAAATTAGTAAAATGGTCGTTTAGCTGGCTGTGAGTCTGTGACTGAGTAGCCTGCACACTGGCCAGCATGGCCCAGAGCTGCGCCCACCTCTGTCCTGTAAGGTAAGCCTGGTGCCTCTCTCTGCAGGGTGTGATCCTGGTCTATGACATCGCAAACCGCTGGTCCTTTGATGGCATCGACCGGTGGATTAAGGAGATAGATGAGGTATGAGCACTGTGCCAGAGCGCCACCCGAGTGGGCTTGAGGGCCAGGGCACGAGGCTTCACCAGGAAGGACACCAATCCCCTCCCTGGACAGGACCGGGCCCTGACCTGGAGCCCCACCAAGCCCAGGAGCCAGAGCCGCGAGCTGCCTGCTGGCACGCAGACCTGGCCAACTGCCGATGTGGGTACAGAGCAGCCCTGCACTCGTCATATTGTTTCCTGCAGCTGCCGGAACACATCGCCATAAACAACAGAAATGTGTTCTCTCACACTTTGGAGGCCAGGAGCCCGAACTCCAGTGTCATCAGGGCTGGGCTCCCTCTGAAGCCTCCAGAGGAGGGTCCTTCCTGCCTCTTCCAGTTCCCGGTGGCTGCCGACAGCTCCTGGCCTGTGGTCCCATAACTCTGCCCCCACGTGGCTTTTCCCCTGTGTGTCCTGGGTCCTCTCCTCTTCTCACAAGGACACCAGTGCCTGGATTGACGGCCCTTCCCAGTGGCCTCATCTTAACCAAATACATCTGCAAACGTCCTTCTCCAATAAGGACACGTTCTGAGGTTCTGGGTGGGCGTGAATTTGGGGAGGACGCCATGTACCCCGCACACCAGCGGTGCCAGGAACAGAAGCACAAGTAACCCCTGTTCCTTGCCTTTCTCTCACCCTTCAGCATGCCCCTGGTGTCCCTAAAATCCTGGTGGGAAACCGCCTGCATCTGGCCTTCAAGCGGCAAGTCCCCACGGAGCAGGCCCAGGCCTACGCAGCGCGCCTGGGTGTCACCTTCTTCGAGGTCAGCCCTCTGTGCAACTTCAACATCACCGAGTCCTTCACGGAGCTGGCCAGGACCGTGCTGCTGCGGCACGGGATGGACCGACTCTGGAGGCCCAGCAAGGGTAGGCACCCGCCAGGCCGTCCTCCAGCCCCCGGCCCCCCGGCCCGCCTCCCAGGACCCACCCGAGGCAGCCGCGTCCATTCCCAGGGAGTGAATGCAGTTAATTAGAAGTCACCGTGAACAGTTTTGTCGGAAAGTTCACGAGAGGCACTTCTGAAGTGTGTGCGTAGGCAGAGGCGTGTGTGACGAGAAGGAGCCAGCACCTCCCCACGCGGAGCAGGGCCCCTGAGCCTGCAGGGATGCAGCACCCGAGGGCCACGTTTGCCAGGCGCTCAGATGCCAGGCTTTGCCCACACCCTTCCCCCTGGCCCCCCACCACTGGTGGTTTTGGGAAGAGCGTATCATGTTAGGAGTGATCCGCTTTCAAAGCGGGGAGCTTGAGACAGAGAAGTGCACAGAGTGTTGTCAACACCAGATCCCTCTGTGTTAATACATCCAAAGACCCATGCTCTTTTTTTTAAATTTTAGTTTATTTATTTATTTACTTTGAGAGAGAGCGAGACAGAGACTGTGCACAAGTGGGGGAGGGGCAGAGAGAAGGAGAGACAGGATCCCAAGCAGGCTCTGAGCCATCAGCACAGAGCCTGACTCGGGGCTCGATCCCACAAATTGTGAGATCATGACCTGAGCCGAGATCAAGAGCCGGACGCTTAACCGACTGTGCCACCCAGGCGCCCCAGACCTGTGTTCTTATTTCATCTGCCTTGTGGTGACATAGTCGCTGTCACCGTTTTCCACTGAGTAATCTGTCCACATATTCCTGTTAAAGACAAAAAGACAAAATCTGTAGTCATTGAACTGGGCGGCCTAGGGTTGACGGAGCAAAATAGGGTTCTTCTGAATCAGGGATCCTCCCCCTCAGCACTGCTGCCACTCGGGCTGGGCTGTTTGCTCTGGGGAGGCCTCCAGTGCGCCACACCCCCTGCCCCCCAGCTGTGGAAACCACAAGCGTGCCGGGAAGCCCAAATCACCCCCCGTTAGGAACCACTGAGCCGAAAGAGCTGTTTGCTGAGCAACCCGGGGCCTGACCCCTTTGGGGGCTGTGGTGGGGGAGGGGGCACACTGGGAATGCCCCTCCTCGGCAGGTCCCCAAGAGCCCGTCCCACCGGGCAGGGAGCCCAACTCGCATAAGAGGCAGTGTAGAGGAGATTGAGGACAGCATTGTCTCCTCAGGTGCTCCCTTGGACATGTCATTATACAGCTGGTCACAGGTGTTGCCAAGGTCAGCTGTGCAGTCAGGAAGGAGGTCATCCCTGAGGCCTTGGTCTCTCACCCCAACCGTGGGAGCATGAGTGCCATCGTCTCCCCTCCAGGTCTGCCCACCTCTTGGACCTGGAGGGAAAGACGGCAGGGGTCTCCAGTCCGAGGCCACTAAAGCGGGCGGACTGGTCTCCAGCACTGCCCAGTGGCGCGTGTGGGTCCGGTGGGTGGAGCCCTCAGCCCCAGCACCCCAGGGAAGGAAGGTGGTCAGTCTGTGTCCTACACTAAACCCGTTTCCTTTCCTCTCCTCTCCCAGTGCTGACCCTGCAGGACCTCTGCTGCCGGGCTGTGGTGTCCTGCACACCCGTGCACCTGGTGGACAAGCTCCCGCTGCCGATGGCCTTGAGGAGTCACCTCAAATCCTTCTCGATGGCCAGTGGCCTCAATGCCAGGATGATGCACGGCCGCTCCTACTCTCTCACCACCAGCTCCACCCACAAGAGGAGCAGCCTCCGAAAAGTGAAGGCCACCCGCCCCCCCCAGAGCCCGCCCAAGCGCTGCCCCCGGAACAGCTGTAAAGTCTCCTGAGGGAGGCACCAGGACACAGACACTGGCCCCTCTGCGAGAGGCTCTGAGCCGTCACTTGTGGGACGCGGGAGCCCATTCCAGGCCCGGGAAAGCGCCTGCCGGTCTCTCGTGGTGATCGTGCCGCCCCGTGCATTGAAAACACCCCGCACAGCTCGACGTTGGTGTTTCTACGTGGATGTGCATGAAGCTCTTGCTTTAGATGTGTGTTTATAAAGGGGGTCAGCACTGTGCTCAGCTCCTGATAACGTGAGATTTCAGACGTCACTTACGTCGTGGCTGCAGCACAGCCTTTGCTTTATAGGACTGCTTTTATAAGAACGGTGACGTGTGTCGTGAGTGCAAATTCCAGGGACTCTGGAAAGCAACAGGGGAGAGAAATTAGTCTTTGACCTCACAAGAGGGCCTTTTTGTAAGTCTCCTCGTCACATCGGAGCGCGAGTTTATGACGTGCTGTGGAGGATCAGAGTTGGCACGGCCACTCTGTCCGCCTCGGGTCTGACATGGATTTGATAAAGTTTTTGCTATGTTATTTACCATGTTTGGGGATTAATAAGTGATTTATATGCATATTTTTCTGTAAATCTACATTTTTTTGTACAAGATGTTCCACAAGTTACAAGGCTAAGGGAAGAAAATGCCAAAGATATCTCCAGTTGTGCCAAACGGCCACAACATAGTTACAACAGATCCAGATCGGCAAGGAAGATACCGTCCAGAGCCGTGTCGGTAAGGAATGAAGTGGCCACCATTATTTAAGAAAGTGTTTCCTGACAATAAAATGTACACTTGTTTCTTGGTAGGGTCGTCGGCTGGTTCCTTCTGATTTTGTGTATTCACATAGCCCTTTGTTTCATTTGCTTTATCAAGTGTTTCAAGTGCCACAAATTCGTGCCAGTACATGGAGCTGGCAGCAAGGCTTTGTTCCTGAACCGTGGCATGTGTTGAAAAAGCTTCCTTTCCCTGGAAAGACATGTAGAGGCAGAAAGTGGGAAGTCTCGGGGGCACCAGGGTGGCTCGGTGAGTTAAGTGTCCAACTGTTGATTTTGGCTCAGGCCACGATCCCAGGGTCATGGCCTCTGCACTGAGCATGGAACCTGCTTGGGACTCTCTCCCTCTCTCTCTGTACCCGCCCCCGGTCATGCTCACTCACTCCCTAAAAACAAGTGGGAAGTATATATTTTTATTTTTTATTTTTTAAAATTTACATCCAAAGTAGTTAGCATCTAGTGCAACGGTGATTTCAGGAGTAGATTCCTTAGTGCCCCTTCCCCATTTAGCACCCCCCAACCCATCCCGTAACCCTCAGTTTGCTCTCCATATTTATGAGTCTCTTCTGTTTTGTTCCCCTCCCTGTTTTTATAGTCTTTTTGTTTCCCTTCCCTTATGTTCATCTGTTTTGTCTCTTAAAGTCCTCATATGAGTGAAGTCATATGATTTTTGTCTTTCTCTGACTAATTTCACTTAGCATAATACCCTCCAGTTCCATCCGCGTAGTTGCAAATGGCAAGATTTCATTGTTTTTGATTGCTGAGTAATATTCCATTGTATGTATATACCACATCTTCTTTATCCATTCATCCGTGGATGGACATTTGGGCTCTTTCCATACTTTGGCTATTGTTGATAGCACTGCTATAAACATGGGGGTGCATGCGTCCCTTCGAAACAGCACACCTGTATCCCTTGGATAAATGCCTAGTAGTGCAATTCCTGGGTCGTAGGGTAGTTCTATTTTTAGTTTTTTGAGGAAACTCCATACTGTTTTCCAGACTGGCTGCACCAGCTCGCATTCCCAAAACAAGTGGGAAGTATTAATGAGAGGCCCTCAAGTGTGTGCCTGTCTGGTAAAAGCAGAGAGGTACTCTTGAATCCCTCTGGGACGTGTCTCCCCGCACCCCTCCAACGGACGAGGTCCTAACCACCAATCACAAATGACTCATACAGGACATGTGGACTGTGCAAAGGCCCTGGGCAGGGTCTTGCCTGCCCTGCTGTACCTGCTTCACATCTCTCTGCAGTAGCTGGAGGTTACAATGAGGAATTTTTAATTTTAATTTAATTTAATTTTATTTTATTTTTTAAGTTTAATTTATTTTAAGAGCGAGTGCAAGTGGGGGAGGAGCAGAGACAGAGGGAGATAGAGAATCCCAAGCAGGCTCTGCACAGTCAGCACAGAGCCGATGTGGGGCTTGAACTCATGAACCTGTGAGATCATGACCTGAGCTGAAACCAAGAGTCAGACACTTAACCGACTGAGCCACCTAGGGGCCCCTATTTTATTTTATTTTATTTATTTTATTTTTTTACATAAAAATCTTTGTAAA